TTTTGATGAATGTGCTGACATTGGTTGACAATAGGTATCTCATCCATCTGACCGTTGGCAGAGCGTTCCTTGTTATGCTCATAATACACTCGAGTAGTTTGCATAACCGAGCAAAACAACGCGAAAGAGTCGTGCTCAACATAGTTAACATTGAGCAGCTGCAGCATCAAATCATCGACCTCTTCCTTAGCTGAGGGCTCCTCAAGCACCTTCCCATCAACCGCATCCCCGTGAACAACCCACAGAATAGGTGCCAATAGCTCATGCATGCCTTGTCGATAACCCAGATCCGGGTTCAACTTTGCATAGATAAACAGAATATCAATCATTTTCGCCTTGGTGGCGGGTTCACGGAAGAAGAAATTCTCTTGTAAGCATCGGTCAACATCCTGGGATATATCCGCTCTCATCTGCTCATCATGTCGTAGAGTTTGCCAGGGAGACTTTTGGGAGCAAACACATGTCAGATGTGCGAGTAATGACAAGCCACGGTAGCCGATTAGAAGTAGCATACCTCTTCATCATCCGCTAGTGGGTCAATTGTTGACGGTAAATCATCTGGATGCTCAATGTATTTGAGATAGTGCGCTTTCAGCGCGGTATATGCGTCCCGCGACTCGGATGTCCGTCGTGACCACTGTGAGCGATCGAGATCGTCGAACAGCAGGAACGCCTGCAGGCAGGTAAGCAAAATTGACCGTCTTGCCAAGTGCTGCGGCTGCATGCCTTCCAGCAGACAGATCTCAATCCGTCATTGCATAACCTGTCTCCTTGTTCTGATTTGATCGCATCTCGGAGGGCAGAGGGCGTAGCATTGTTGCGTAACAGGGTATCCCATCTCTGTCTGGAGAAACCATTAGCAAGTCTTCTCCTCTGGCGTTACAGGCAATCGTACCTTGTATCCGAAAGGGTTCTCATCTCTCCAAAGGGCTTTCAGCAGCGATGTCTGAGTGAGCAGACTTGCGATGACGGAAGGTGGATTGTCAAGTGATGCGGATCGGATCATATGAATGGAGCCTTGGTTTTGGCCGATCATTGTTTTGGTGGCGGGCGGTAATCCCCACCATATGGAAATGCGCTTTACTTCTTCATGATCGTATGGTCGCCTCAAGATCCTCCAAATCCTCGCCATCTTATCCTGAAACCACGCAATGATCTACAATATCTATATAGACTCGAGAAGCGAATTCGCACCATAGAGATTCTGGTGGGTTGGACAGCAGATAATGACTGGTACGGATGACAATTTTCGACATTTCTCGGAGTTCGACTGAGAGTTGAAAGCATTCCACCTGCTCACAAGGACTCTTTAAACCTACGAAGTGACTGTTATTCTCGCCTTCTATTTCAATGTCCGCAGACCTATTCGCCGAATTTGGATACAAGGCACCATCTGCGCAGCCTTCAAATGTCTCACATCAGCGGCGGCCCGAGTCGCAAGCACACTCCCTGATCCCCGATTTGGACGTATTAGAAGATGTGGTCTCCTCTAATCCTCAAAACGATGTTCAAGATCAGGCCCCCTCGTCACATTTAAAACAATCACAGACACCAGAAGACCAGTTTGCATTAGCCTCGAGCACGGATTTTCCAAAGTTGCAAGACTATGGCGGTGGAAGTAACGTATTATTTGACGCTACTTTGGAGCCTATGCCCGATGACGAGGATGAAGACGAGGACTGGGGTGAATTTGAATCCGCAGAGTCAGCGCCAGGCAAAAGCCAGTCAGCAGCACGCTTTCAACAGCAGGATAGTCTACGAGACAGTCAAAGTAGACCCAAAGAGGCTTCTACGCTGCTTGACGTGATGGATTCTCTATCAATTGCGGACTCGAAACTACCAGTCAGCAGCAAGCCCGTTTGCAGACAGACGATTGATAGGCCTAGGTCGCATATTAAGGCCGTTGGTCCTATTGCTGTACCCGACACTGCGCAGGACGATTCGTTTGAGGATTGGGGTGAATTCATTGACGGGCCACCTGCAGAGATCAACCCAGCGAAGCTCCAAAGCTCTTCCGGATCAATGAGTCCTCAGGGCAAAATCCCGCAGGTTCGGACAGCCGTCCTTACGTCTTCTAATTTTACTATGCCGGGAGAAAAGGTATCCGAGTCTCAGATCCGTCCTACAAACATACCCCCGCCGTCTGTTCTCTTGGAGTTGTTTCCCAGGCTTTTTGAGCAACTTCGTGAAGAAGCTACCACGGCGAGAAGAGGTCTGCAACAGGAAGACCAGCTCGAGACCGCCGCAGCTCTTGTGCTTTGCACTTTGAAGGTGGTTGCACGAGTAGTTGCTGGTCGCACTCTGCGGTGGAAACGAGATACAATATTGAGTCAAAGCATGCGAATAGGCCCCGCACGTTCAGGGAAGGCAGGCGGAATGAAACTCAGTACCGTAAACAAGAACGAGAGCATCAAGGAACAACAGGAGGCTGTCGACGTGCTCACAATGTGGCGTGATCAAGCCGCGCTCTTTAATTCTCTGATCCAGGCATCCGGAAAACAGCCCATCCAGGCCATTGCAGAAAATGCTCGGGTAATAACAGCCACCGCGGCCCTGGGAGCCATCAAAGCCCCTCACGCATGCGCACTTTGCGGACTGAAGCGTGATGAGAGGCTGCCAAAAGTCGATGAGAACGTGCAAGACAGCTTCGGAGAATGGTGGGTTGAGCACTGGGGTCATAGCGAGTGCAAGGAATTTTGGGAAAAGAACATGGGCCTTCTTGCTCGACGATAATAATGCCAAGCAGACCATGATTAGAATGCCACATTCTCCGAATCTCTAGGATTTGCAACTTTTTAGCGGGTGTTAGAACACTTTAGTTTATGGCAAAACTTTCTTTGCGCCATCACCTCTTTGTCTCTCAGTGCAGAGTATGTGGCATGCATCAGACGTTTCATTGCAAGCTCAAGGTACCTAGTTGATTGCTCGAGCTGACATATCATTTGGGCTAATCTAGCTCGGTATGTAGTCCGATAACAGAGATAAGAAACCAACGTGCATACAAAACCAAAGGGAACTTGTAAAAAATGAACTTCAGGTACGCTCAATGAACACTCAAGTTCTTGAAGATGAAAGAGGTGGTTTAGGATGTTAAATGATCAGGAGCTGCGTGGCTGCTCTTGCGCCACTGGTGGTGGCTGGTCTGGGCGTCCTGACTGTGTCACGTACTTGACCTTGTTCCCGTGCGGGGGTACTTAAGTGTCAGCTTGGAATGAGCCTGATCACTACGCCTCCTTTTCCCTGCCTCTGTACCTTGTGTACAACTTTGTACCTGCCGCGTCATTTGTATCACATCTTTGCTGGTCACGCTTATCTTCCTAATAGCTTACCTTGAAGCAAGAATTTAGAACGTTTGGTACTGCCTACCGTGGTCAACATACATGATCCCTTTCACCCGGTGCTGCAGCCGCTGTTTCCGCACTGCCCCATATATACTTTGCTTCTTCCAAACTTGTACAGTCAATCTATAAAGCGGGGAGCGTATCTTCCTGAACTCTCCATCCCATCAGGTTTGAAGCCACGTCAACTATAAGTATTGTTGGTGGGGTTCTTATCAGGTTTGGAACTTCTTGTGAAGAAGAGCGGGCAACCGGAACAACAGTATAACTCGTTGATCGCTTCCGTCAGAGTTATTCCAAACCCACACACAGAGGCAACTACGGATTACCCACCTTATCGTCGTTGAGCTCGCACTCCAGGACTTTTCTTTAGAGGTCGGTGGTAGTGGGAAGACAAAGCGATACAGGTCACCATGGGTCTTGCGTACAACGTCTATCTCACTTCCAACAAAATATTCGGGTGCAAGAAATGCAAAACGCACCTTGCCGATTACAATGATATCATCAGTCGGGTCAGTATTACCGTGTCGTGGTTCTTTTCTGTTACATGATTATTGATGCATCTGCTGATTCATTCATCTCTACCGCAGAATTTCCGTGGCCAACATGGCAAGGCGTACTTGTTCAACACCGTTGTCAATGTAACCCACTCCGACGCTGTGGAGCGTAACATGACCACCGGAAGGCATATCGTCCGAGACATATTCTGCAGGCAATGCGCCGAACTAGTAGGGTGGAAGTACGACAAAGCGTACGAGGCGAGTGAGAAATACAAGGAAGGAAAGTTCATTTTGGAGGAAGAATTGTTATGTGTGGTGTGTTGATAGCCAGCTTCCACTCTGCGATGATGGGCTGTCCTTTTGACGACAGAAGGGTCATTCAACTACCTGACAGCAACGTCGTCAATGAACGACTTGGAGGAGGTTGTGTGACTCAGATCTTCAAAGACTGATTCGACTGAGCGTTCTAGTGTGGTGTTTAGGGGAAAGGCGTTGGACAAGGCGTTCTGGAGTTCATCCGTTTCAAACTGCATAGGCGTTTACAGCAGGTTAGGGCGCAATCGAGGCTCCCTATATCAATACACCGTCAGACGGCTCTTCTTCATAGCCCTTTTATATATCGTACCTGCGTAGATGCAGGTACTACCTATTCTACATTACCACCCTGGATTGTCTACTGCAGTCTGACTTTCCGGTGAGGTCGTAGCTTTACATCAAACTGCAGATAACTTACGGTTCTGTTCACGTAGCATGCATATATTGTCTGCGTGGATAAATGGCTTTCAAGATCAACGCATCGCATGAGACGACATTTCAATACTCTTTGTTTTCGCTAGCTAAAAGAGTGTCGTAAGCCAATACCATCTCCTGCATCATTATTGTCCTGCACGGAAACAACTGTATACACATTTATGAAGACGCATTACTAGAAGCAAGCCAGTCCTGAGTCTTATATTCTATTAGTTTTAGTCTTAAATGGAATACCCGCAAGCTGGACGCTGCCCCGCATCAAAGAACAATACGTGAGGGACTGCCGTTATCGGTGTGGAGCAGGACAATCTTTTCAATTCAATCCGCGCCCTTTCTTCAAGACTAACTCTTATATAGACGTCTACCACTAAGGCCCATTACATGGAATAGTAGCTCGTCATATTGACACAGCATGGCCACCAAGGATAGTATGCGTGGGGTAGTGTTTCACGGGCCCTTCAAAGTGGCCGTTGAGGAACGACCAGTGCCCAAAATTCAGGATCCGGCCGATATCGTCGTGAAGGTCACTTATACTGCCCTTTGTGGGAGGTGAGTACACCCGCTGCTACGGTAGTGATCGTATATGTGCTAATTGAGCGGCGTCATGGTAGCGACCTTCATACGTACCGTGGCATTGAGCCTTCTGGCTCGGGGTTTATCATGGGCCATGAATTCACTGGTGTTGTTGTAGAGACTGGTGAAGCTGTCAAGAAGTTTCAGAAGGGGGATAAGGTTGTAAGCGCCTTTACAACKTCTTGGTATGTAACATCAGAAACGGGATTATTGGTCGGTTTTAGCCTACGGAGTACATGTTGATATAGTCTAAAAACAGCGGGAAATGCTTCTACTGCAAGCAAGGGTTTTCCTCCCGATGCGAGGAGAATGTCCTGTTCGGTTGCGAGGCCTTGGATGGAGGACAGGCGGAGTATGTGAGTGCTCTTTGCTGGCGCCATGGCTTCTGCTAAGGCGTTTACCAATGCCGCATAGGTCCGGATTCCGAATGCAGAAGGCAGTGCAATTAAAGCACCTGAGGGGATAGACGAAAAGTTCCTTGTTCTCATGGGCGACATCTTCCCAACTGGCTACTTTGCGGCTAGCAATGCGTTCAAGGGACGGACGCAAGAGCAGATCTCCGAGCAGACTGTCGTGCTCATTGGCTGCGGCCCCGTCGGAATGTGTGCTTTGATCAACGCACTGGAGTTCAAACCGAAGCATTTACTGGCTGTTGACTCTGTCCCGTCCAGACTTGAACTGGCCAGGTCGCTCGGTGCCGAGCCTTGGAACTTCAAGACAGACGGAGAAGGGCTGAGCAAGCGCGTCAAAGAATTGACTAATGGGCGAGGAGCGGATGCTGTCATTGAGGTGGTTGGTCTTAGCCCAGCGCTGAGGACTGGATTTGATCTGTTGCGACCATGGGGTATTCTCAGCAGTGTGGGAGTTCACAACGGAGAGGTGAGTGTCTACCAGCAGGCAGGAATCTAAGAGCGATCACGGTCCTAACCACTTTCAAGATTCCGTGGAATGGGAGCGAGGCATACGGAAAGAACCTCACTGTCCAGATGGGCAGATGCCCCGTCAGGTCTGTTTCTGAGGCTGCGTTGGAGGTTTTAAAGAAGAACCAGCATCTGCTAGGGTATGTCTGCGCATCATTTTGTGAAAACCTCCTGCGGAAGCATGCTTGTTTGACTTCTGGTTTGGCTAATGAGAAATCAGATTCATGACCGACAATATCATGCCCCTCTCGCGAGCGGTGGAGGCCTACGAGCTCTTCAATGCGATGAAAGTCCAAAAGGTCATCTTCGAAGCTGATAAATGAAAATAGTATCCGTACCGCCCGGACGGTGGAAGATTCACCCATCTGTTGGGAGATTATGGCGCGAGATGCCTATGGTTATAGAGAGGTACTCTTAATATTAACCTAGATAGATGAAGCGTGACCAAACTTCATCTCCGCCTGCCAAAAACAAACAGAATCCCAACCCAATAAGAGCCAAGCAAAGCCTTCCCGCAGTAAGGTAAGGTAATAAGTAAAATAATAAACCACGTACCCAAAAAGTGCCACTTCTCTCTCCTCCTCTTTTCCTCTATTATTCTTCTCGTCTTCTTTCCTCTCCTCCTCTTCACCTCACCCCCTCCTCCTCCCTCCCTTCAGTAACTTATCCTCTTTCTCCTCTATCTACCGTCTTCTCCCACTCCATCCCTCCATTTCCTTCTCTTCTTCCTCTCCGTCTCCTCTCCTTCTCTTCCTTCCTCCTCTTTTTCACCATTCCGTTTCCCTGTCTCTCTTGGGATTTCTTCTCCGCCTCCCCCGCGCACCGAAACCCCTCTGAATAGCTCAACGACTGACACCCTCCTACACCTCTTTTGTCCGCCGTTATACCCTCGTCTACTCTGTCTCATCTCTCCTCATCAGCTATCCATCTTTTCTCGACCTTGATTATCCTTCCTAGGTAGGACATATCCCTTACATTTATTCATTTTTTTCGGTGCTCCATGCGCACGTATCAACATCAAATTTGGTTCTCTTTGGGGTCTGTCTATGCTCTCCGCACCATGAGCTCATCATGATCGTTCTGGAGGGAACCACTGGTCACCATTTCAGTGTTTTGAACGCATTCTCTGACCAGCAATAGAACGACCCATTCTAGGAGCTTTTTGTCGAATTCTACACCACACCCGCCAAGACCTATATCAATCACTCATCTCCACTTCTAAACCATGGACTCCACCGAGATGCGCGACGCCCCTCCGGTTGACGAGACGATGGCCGATGCCATGAATGTCGCCGACGAGGGTGACATGGAAGTCACTCCGAAGACTGAAGAGGAATACGCGCAGTCTATGCTGACCCTCCGCGCCATCGTCTCCTCTAAGGAAGCTGGCGTGATTATCGGCAAAGCCGGTAAAAATGTGGCCGATCTCCGGGATGAAACCGGTGTCAAGGCTGGCGTGAGCAAAGTCGTTCCTGGTGTTCATGATCGTGTCTTGACCGTCACGGGGCCTCTGCAAGGTACAGCCCGGGCTTATGCCCTGGTGGCCAAGGGCTTGCTTGAAGGAGCCCCGCAAATGGGCATGGGTGGTATTGTGAATAACAATGGAACTCATCGTATGTTCCCCTTTCACCATAAAGGAATCCGGACCTCTACAATGAATATTCTAAGCAGGCGCTTGTGCACCTTTTGAACCCCATTTACTAACATATAGTGCTTAGCTGTCCGCCTCCTGATCTCCCACAATCAAATGGGAACCATCATCGGTCGACAAGGTTTGAAGATCAAACACATCCAGGATGCTTCTGGTGTGCGAATGGTTGCTCAGAAGGAAATGCTACCTCAGTCCACCGAACGGATCGTGGAAGTGCAGGGAACCCCAGAGGGTATTGAGAAGGCTGTTTGGGAGATTGGAAAATGCCTCATCGATGACTGGCAGCGGGGAACCGGCACAATTCTTTACAACCCTGCCGTTCGTGCATCGGTTGGCGGATCTACCTCGATGAACACGAGCAGCGTGGGCAATGGCTACAACAGTCGTCCCTACAACCGCACCGGTAACGGCGCCGATTTCAGCGACGGCCAATCCGGCGGCTACGGCAGACGCTCTAATCCAGATACCTCCAACCGCGGCTATCCCCTTGTCACTGAGGACGGCGAAGAAATTCAAACTCAGAATATCAGTATCCCAGCGGACATGGTCGGTTGCATCATCGGCAGGGGTGGAAGCAAAATCACCGAGATTCGCAGAAGCTCTGGAGCTCGCATTTCCATCGCTAAAGCGCCTCACGATGAGACCGGAGAACGCATGTTCACAATCATGGGCAGCGCTCAGGCTAATGAGAAGGCTTTGTACTTGTTGTACGAAAACCTCGAAGCCGAGAAGACTCGCCGTAGCCAGTTGCCTCAGGAATAAATGCCCCTATATGGTTTTTTTAATGGCTTGACACGTAATCGCCTGTTCCGTCACAGGTGTCCCGCCTATTCAGAGGAGCAGGAACTTTTTTCTTCAATGTCTTGCTTTCATTTTCGTGTGCCTCTTTTTGTTCATCTCGTCGATTTCATTATTTCACATCCTATCCAGCTGCCTTAATTACAGGCAAGCCACAGAGTTTGTGCGGTGGAGCGCACGTACCTATCAATTACATGGACCTCACGACCTTCCACTGGTTGCCTCATGCTGAATGACTTTCGAGCTCAGAAAAACGAATGACACTATCTACTGATACTCGGTATCTACGTCTCCCAGCTTCCTCTCTTGGACATCTTCGTTCCCAAATTCTTCTCTGGCTCCTCCTCTACCGCTCACGTCTCCTCTGAAAAGTTGCTCGCTGCAATATCGTTGTCCTCTAACTCCCTATTCTCAAGATCGGATCTCAGTATTGCTCCTTAATTTTACACTTAACCCGCGATGGATCATGTCCATTTAAATGGCTTTTCTCCGGTGCAACTGCCCTCTATGCTTCATACTATAAGCACATATCATGAGGCTTTTTCTCCTGTTTCCTACCTCACCCTGGTGTCTCATCTTTGACAAGACCACCCAACATGTGTGTCCGCATGAGCTCATCGTGTTAGCCGTGGATCAAGAGAAGAATAATGGTTTTTTACGAAGCTAATTCATCTCAAAATGGAATGGATTGCAGTGAGCAAATGAGTGTATCTGGGTAGCTGACGCCTGACCTCAACTGATTGAACCGTAGTTTCCACTCTTGGGACAAAATCTCTCTAGTAATCATCACTTACGTTGTGGACAAACCATGATTTCGGACTACATAGAGACGTATTCAACTTGCAATCAAATTTGGCGTTGCATTTACAATCGTTCATCATGCAATTGTTGGCTTGGAAACTGTTACAACAGAAAGTCAACTACATACATGAACTTGGAGATAAACAGTCCAAAAAATGAACGCGAATGAAAGGAGTCTATGCTGTATGCACCTGGATGTGCGGATGCAAATCAGAAATGGATGGGTGGCCGCTTTACCGACCCAGAGCATGAAGTAGAGATATGTATGGAGTAGAAAGTAGAATGAGTTCGAAAAGAAAAGGGACTGTAGACCAGACCATGTCCTGTGCTGAGCACGAAACATCGAATGGGATGTGGATGTCGTCAATGCATGCAGGTATGTATGTATCGGGGCAAGACAGAAATCGAAATTGAGCGTGGATTCGTAAGGATATGCTTCTGTGCGAAAGGAATTTATGATGCGTCGCAATCGAGCCCGTATCGCTGTGCTTGTTTAATGATGGCAAGAAACGCCAGGGCAATCAAATAAGCAGAATGGTAGACACGGAAGGAAAAAAAGCGCCGGCTGAAGAATATCCAAAACCCAGGTATGAATCGCTTCGTTAGATGAAAAAAAGCCGTAAATGAAACCGACGGACTCCGAATGGGTTTAAAGACGGGAAAAGTACGAACAACAAGAACGAGTCGATTGATCAGTCGATGCTCACATCTAAAGGGTCTTCATATGCGGCCGTCGGTCGCTGCCTGAGGCCAAATGTTCGTACTCCCATACTATTTGCTCGTACTCGGTTCTGCTGGATGGGTGTATAGCTGGCTGCCTGCTTGCTCGATGGCGCGGTAATTCTTGTCTGATACAGGCCTTGTTGAGTGGGCAAACCATCACCCTGGCCGTCTGGCACCGAACCATCACCTGCGGCTGAAGGAATACCAGAGGCACCATATCTGCGAGAACCAGCAAGAATGTTCAAGCGCGATGTGGTTGGCGTATAGTTTGCCGGAATCGCAAGGCTTCTGCGTAGAGGAATGCTGGACTGCGCGGCGGTCGGGGTGCGCGGTTGCTGTAGCTGTGTACGCGTGGGTTGATACGACAATCTGGAACCTTGAGATCGCTGAGGATCTGAGACTGGTTGGGAGGTTGTATAACCATGCGCGACTCGCTGCCGTGGTGAGAGGCGCTGTGCCGCTGCTGAATTGTCAATGTCGGTCATGGCTCTTGAGATCGAGCGACTATGTGGACTTGGCTGGTCGGCGTCTTCGTCCTCGGGCTGTAGCCTCTTGCTACGCAATGAAGTTGAGAGACGACTGAGTCGGCTTTTAGGAGCAGGTGCGCTGGGCGATGAGGGACTATTGCCATCTGGGAGAGCAGAGTGGTCTTTTCTGCTGCTGCTGTTGCCGTTCGTATTGACCAGGCTTGCTCGACGTGCCTCCAGACGACTAGATACATGAGTGGTGCTCTTTCGTCGGCCTGGGACCTCGGGCTCCAAGGTCATACTGCGTCGAAGGGAACGACTCAGCGTTGACGACTCCTCGTTCGCGCTAGTCGGTAAATGGGTTATAGTATCATCGTCGCCGGCGGGCATTTGCTGTTTGGAAAGCTGTTCGTCTGACAAAGCGAGACAGAGCTCTGTCAAGCTGCGGCAGACGCTGTCGGCTTTTCGCCTAGACTGCCGGTCGGAGGAGCTGTAGCCATTGACAACCGAGATTCCACTAGAGGGTGCTTTATTAGTGCCTAATAGGCTTGAGAGAGCCAGTGCATCCGTGACTGCGGCCTCGAGCGATTTATACACCTCGTTGTTCAATACATCTCTCGCTTTGAATAGAGCCGATTGCAAAAGCGGGTGCACCGGATTTGTGGCCGTGGCAGCCTCTGTTTCCCCCATTGAGGGGCTTATCTTATGGTTGTGGTTTGGAGAAGAGGATACGGTCGTTACTGTAGTGGTTGCAGTTCGCGGTCGCTCTCCGGAGACTGTCGATATCGCAGCTTGAGACGACGGCGGCAGCTTCCCGGTCAACTCCAGCTTCTTGATTCGCGACTTGAGATCTTCCAGCTCATCCCAGACTGTAGACGGAGCA